AAAATGTTAGGTCCCTGGGAATGTGCCCTAGTAGTGGATACTGGACCCCAGCCCCTTCTTGTTTCTCTCTCTCTCTTTGCTTCCCAACTCCATGAGGTAAATAATTTTCCTCCATCAAGTGCAGACATTCCCATCTCTCTTGGAGCCCCCTTGTTTGGCCTGGGTTGGAGGGACACACCCTCTACCCTCCCCAAGTGCTGTCTGCTAGGATGAGTGATGAGTCTTGCCACAGATCCCCAAAGCAATGGGACCAAATGACCATAGACTTCTGAAACTATAAACCAATATAAACCCCCTATAAATTGATTTTTTCCAGCATTTTGTCACAGCAACAGAAATCTAACATAAAGCAGGTGTTATGGTTCAACTACGAAGCATCCCCCAAGCATCCTTGTGTTCATGCAGAAAGTGAAATGATTAGATTATGAGAGCTGTAACCTAATCAGTAGATTGTTCCATTGGATGGATTAATAATTTGAAAGAACAAACTGGATGCTAACGATATATGTGTATATGGAGTGTGGCTGGAGGAGGTAGGTCACTGGGGCCATGCCCTTAGGGATTATACCTTGTCCCGCCTTTTCTCTCTCCACTTCCTGTCCAGCCTCCAGGTCCTGAACTGCTTTCCTCAGCCATGCTCTTCCCTTCTACCCCGCCCCTTAGGCCCAGAGCAATGGAGTAAGCCAACCTTGGACTTAATCTCTAAAATCATAAACCCCAAATAAACTTTCTTCCTTTAAATGGTTCTGGTCAGGTATTTTGGTCACAGTGACAAAAAGCAGATTGTCATAACAGGAGATAGTCCCTTATCTCCAGTCTGGTAATACCAGAGCTGTCACCACCCATAGATCTGAAGGGGCCTAGGAAGGAAGCCGTTGCCTACACTGGGTCTGGGGACTGTGGAGAAAGGTCACTCTCCAGGACCTGAGATCTCTAGCTGAGGAACAAGCCAGCTTACTGGGACCCAAAAAGAGACAATGAATACATAACTTTACTTGCCTCCCTCCCTCCAAATCTTGCTGGGCCTTCTCATTGACCTGACCCAATCAGAAGTCAGAGGGCTGAGACCAGCCAGCCACCTGGGGCACAAAGCAGGATGGAGAAAGGTGGACAGGTGAATGAAAGCTGTCCAACTGCATCCCTAGCCAGGGTGGTGCACAAAACAACCCAAACAAGGCCAAGGAGGTGGGTGTTTTCCTGTTCTGCAATCTGGCAGACTAACAAAGTTCTAGGCCTGTCCATGGAGCAGCATCACCCTAACACTGTCTCACCACCAAGGGGCTGCTTCCCAGAGCAAGTGCAAATCCAGCCCCAGTGCAAACTCCCAGCAAAGCTTCCCAACAAAGTCAGGGTGGGCATCTGTTGCCAGCAATGAAAGAATTCTGATTTAAACCTATTATAATACCTGAGATAAAAATCTTCATGGGGCTAGCCGTGTAGCTCAGTGGTAGAGTATGTACTTAGCATGCTTGAGACCCAGGATCCAATCCCCAGCAACAAAAAACAAAATAATTTCATGCATGAGTTGGAGTCTTTCACACACAAAAATAATAATAATAAAAATGATGATAATAATGGGCACAGCAAACCAATTGTCAGGAAAACTAAGAACCAAGCTCAGGCAGGATTTTACAATCTGAGCCCCAAGCCAGGACCACTTAGTAGTACATATGCAAAGCCACTACCAATCAGCCAGAGACCCTAAGATCCAGGCCACTGGGATCACCACCACAAGAATAGATTTTTTCCTGCTTCTGCTTCTCAAATCATCATTGCCCAAAATGAAGTCCAGGGCAGTGACTTCTCTGGCTATACCAAGGTCATCTGCCTTATGGGGAACTGCAAGAACACCTGGGAAGTGAGAATCAGCATTCTAATTAGGAGGGGAGCCCCCCCAAACCTGGGAGCTTTGCCATGCTGAGTAGCCAACAAGTAATGTCTGCACACTATTCACGTGACCTTTTCAATATGCTCAAGTATGTGATTTTAAACAGTATCTTTAAAGCAGGATTACTGGTTCTTGTGTACTGCCAAATTTCTTTCCCCAAAGAGTTAAATTAATTACAACCAACAAAGGGTCTGCTTTTCCATGTGTGCATATATTACCACTGAAAAGTTTTAAAACTAGTTTAATAAGTGAATATGATGGATAACTCACAGCTTAATTCTCATGCTGTCTTTCTCTTATTTTCCCCGTGCTTTTTACTTTATTGTATTCTCCAAAATTCTCTCATATTTGACTTTGGACACATTTTATTATGTTTTGATAACTGAGGGGTTTTTTTTCATTATTTTTCTTTTTGTAGTCTTGTACTAAAATTATCTGGCATTTGCTGAAAGAAGAGATTAGGATTAGCTGTAGTTGCGTTACAAGGGAAAAAAAAAAAAAACAGAAGCTTAAACTAGAGAGAAGTTTCTTTCTCTTCCACAAAGAGAGGGTTAGAGAAGGGTAGCCCAGGGCTGGTCTTGGAGCAACTTCATAAATTCAGGAGGGACCCAGCTCCTCCCTGATCACTTCTGTCATCCTGATGAGAACTCAGCTCCACTGTCCAAGGTGGCAGCCAAAGCTGTGGGACAGGGGGAAGGAAGAAGAGGGGCTAGCCACCTACCTTTACAACACTTCAGTTTGCATCTTATTGGCCCAAACTGAGACCTCATCTAGCCACAGGGGAGGCTAGACATGAGCCAGATAAAAATCAGGATCTTATTCTTTAGGACTAAGAGAAGAAAGACATTCATATGAGAACAATATGATGTTTATAATGATGACAGTGATTAGCTAATCTTTTCTAAATAATTACTATAGTAGGTTAAATACTGTGGGAGGCCATTGATTCAAATTAAGCTCCTACACTAAGCTTAACAGACCAAATCAATATGGAGTTTAACCACAATATCTGAGCTTTAGTTAATTGCAAGAGGCTCTGTAACCAATTAACCAATTGAGCTGTAACCAATTAAGCTGTCTCTACACCACACTTTTGTTTCCTATCACTGTTGTCAGAGTAGGTTATTGGAGGGAGTTTTCTGAATCTGCCTTGGTTCTGGGAACTGCCCAATTCACAAATCATTTTTGTTTTGTGTTGCTTTGTTCTCTTTCATTTCTAATTGCTCAAATAAACTCTGTTGAGTTTAATTAGTTTAAGATTTTTCCTCTTGACAAGTAATTGTGGGCACTGTTCTTGGCACCTGACATGTATTATGTAATCCCTACCACACCCCTGTGAGATAGATACTATTACTATCATTGCACAGAGAAGAAGCCAGGGCACAGAGAGGCTAGGTAATTTGTCCAAGGCTACCCCTAACAGGTGGCAGAACCTGGATTTGAATACAGGTAGCCTGGCTCTAGAATCTCTAGGTCAAGACACAATAGCAAACAGAGGTATCTCCTACCAACAATCAGAGAACCAAGTTAATGAGGCCAACTGAGGTTCTTCTAAGTGGCTTATCTACTAACTCAGGAGTAGAGAGGAGACCTAAGTCAGAGCTGCTGTCTCACTTTGCTCTGAATATTTCATGTGTGCATATACTCAACTAATTTTTTTCATAACACATATTATACTTGCAATCCACTGTCTGAAGCCTGTGTTTGCTACTGGCTGGGGGGAGGGCAGAAACTGTATCCCCCAACAGTGGGTATAAAGCACAGCACATAGTAGATGCTCAAAAAATACTTGTTCTGAGTGAATTGGCATCAGCCCTACTCTGTGCCAGGCTCTAGGATGGGTACTGGGCATGCACATATGAGAAACACAGATCCTGCCCATGGCTACTCATGGAGAAGAAATGGAGTCAGGTGAGCACAGAAACAGTGTAGGCAAAGACACAGGGACCTGATGATGAGGATTTGGGTGTGACCCGTGTTGTTTAGTTGTCATTAAGCAATAAGTGATAAGATCCTGAAGTCCTGAAGGGAGGCCTGCTGTAGGCCAGAGCCAGACTGGACATTCCTTTCAAGCCCAAGGTAAAAAATTCAGCCATCTAGGGCAACTCTTCTGGTGTGCGGAGGAGGGAAGGAGAACAAAAAAGTAAAAGCACAGAGATCTGTAAAGAAGCTGGAGCAATAAGCAGCCCTGTCGAGAGGAGGGAATGGGAGACAAGGATTTTGGGGAGGCAGAAAAAGATGGAGATTTGATGAAAGGCAAGAAAGAATAGGTGGGCTCTCTGGGTGGAAGAAATAGAAAACTGGTTGAGAGGGGCCTGGGAGCAAGGCTGAGGTCTCAGGGTGGGTACCAAAGTGAGGGTTTGGAAAAAGGAAGGAGGGGTGGGGCTAAGAGAAACAACAGTGGCCCAGATGGGAACTGTGGAAGGGGAAAGGAGGGGGCCCAAGTGGCCAGAGCAGGGGAGTGGGGCTGGAGAGGGGCCCTGGCTCAAGCTGGCGCAGACAGAGCATTTGGCCGCCTGCAATCTTGTGCTCATGGCTTAGAAATGTCCCAGTCCTGCCAGGAGACGGCCTGGCCCCTGCTACCCCTGTCCCCCACCAGCCCACGCTGACTCCCACATCAGGGAGCTCTGAAGCTCTCCCACCCCCAGTCTTCTGCTCCCCTAGAGTGGGCCCCTCCTGGAACCCAGGCACACCTACACCCCCAACCTCCCCTTTCAGTCCTCCCCCTGAATGGCTGATGAAACAGCCCAGGACAGGAGGGAGAGAATAAACAGACATCTGCAGGGGGGCCTGTCAGGAAGCGGGGTGGACTGAGGCAGGCTGGGGCCAGCTGGGGGTGCCAGGGGCCCACAGGTCCAGCCGGCCGTTGGCGGAGTGGGATCCAGGCAGCAGTCTGAGCCCGAGCCAGGAGGGAGTTGACTGTCTGGTCTGCAGTGCTCTGCCGACAGGCCTAATGAGACCCAGGTGGTCCCCTGGCCCCTGGTAGTGTAAGCTGATGCTGGTCGTGTGTGTGAAGGGGGGTGGTTCTGCAGCTTCGGGAGGCGGGGCTGGGGCGGCTGGCCAGGGGCCCAGCACATAACTCGAGGCAGCTAACAGTCTGGGACGCAGACACCAGCAGCTCTGAGCCGAACTGACAGCATGAAGGTACTGGGACCAGGGTGGGGGGTTCATGGCATCAGAGGGCCCAAAGCCACTTGGCCAGAGAGGGGACTGTGAAAGCAGAGGGGAATCTCTTGCAAGAAATTCTTTAAGCTTAAAGGGTAGACAGCCTTTCCTGAGAGTAGGGTTGCTTGGGAAGACAAAGAGGGACCAAAGGACAGGAAAAGGTTTCAGGCAAGGAGTGGCATGTGTAATGGTGCAAATGGAAAGAGAACAGGGGGTGCCTGGGGCTGGGGCCAGGGCTGAGCTGACTCTGTTTCCTGCCACCAGGCCCTCCTGGCCCTGCCGCCGCTGCTGCTGCTGCTCTCCACACCTCCCTGCGCCCCCCAGGCCTCTGGGATCCGGGGAGATGGTAAGCAGCCCCCCAGTCACAGATGCAGCACCGTGACCAATAGGCTGGGCTAGAAGAGGCTGTTCGGAAAGCCAGGCCTCAGCGCTGAGGCCCAGCTCTGCAAGGTTGTTTCCTTCTCCACAAAGTCGGGCAGGTGGATGAAATGATCTTTGGGCAGTCCCCCCTCAAACAAATCTCATGATTTAACAAAGCCCCCTAGCCCCAGGGACTGGGAAAAGCTGTGGGTGCTACGGTATTCTCTATGCTGTAAGCCTCACTGTTCCCACACTCCTCCCCCTAGCTTTGGAGAAGTCTTGCCTTCAGCAGCCCCTGGACTGTGATGACATCTATGCCCAGGGCTACCAGACAGATGGTGTGTACCTCATCTACCCCTCAGGCCCCAGCGTGCCCGTGCCTGTCTTCTGTGACATGACCACTGAGGGTGGCAAGTGGACGGTGAGTAGGTGGTCCCAGTTGTGTGAGCCTCAGTTTCTTCATTGTTAAAAATGGGGATGATGATACCCAAGGCACAGTTTGTAAGTAGCTGTCACCAATTGCTTAAGATACACTAACACATGTGACCATCACAATAGTCCTGGTGGTTGCTTTTCTAGATGAGGAACTAAAGCCCAGAGGTGAAGTTACTTGCCCTAGATCATGAAGCCAATACCAGGACTCACACCCAGGCACTTGAATTCTAGAATACCCCCCTTTATTTATTTAGGCAGTGCTGGGGATTAAACCCACACATCCCTTGCTAGGCAAGAGCTCGACCACTGAGCTACACCCCCAGCCCTGATTACCTTTCCTGACTCTCGTGAGACTGCGTGAAGGGCCCAAGTAGGTGCCAGTGCACAGCCCTCCCTCAAAGAGGAGCCTGGTGGCAGTGTGCACCTTGTTTTAACAACCTTTCCAACTCTCAGTCCTTTAATGAACTAGTCTCACATTGCAGGGTCCAGGCCTGGGTGGGCAGGGTAGGACAAGGCCCCTACCCACTGGACCTTCAAATCATTCCCCTTCCCTGTCCTCTCGGCTCCAGGTTTTCCAGAAGAGATTCAATGGCTCAGTGAGTTTCTTCCGGGGCTGGAATGACTACAAGTTGGGCTTTGGCCGTGCAGACGGGGAGTACTGGCTGGGTAAGGCATGGCCCTGGTGGGAGGGGGGACTGCTCCACAGTCAGGTCCTTGCTAACCAGCTCCCTTCCCCCACAGGGCTGCAGAACATGCACCTCTTGACCCTGAAGCAGAAGTATGAGCTGCGGGTAGACTTAGAGGACTTTGAGAATAACACAGCCTATGCCAAATATGTCGACTTCTCCATCTCCCCGAATGCGGTCAGCGCTGAGGAGGATGGCTACACCCTCTATGTGTCAGGCTTTGAGGATGGTGGTGCAGGTATTCCCTCCTGAAAGCTTTAGCAAGGACTGTTGGGGGAGATGGCTGGGCCGGCCCCCTCCAGGGCCCTCCTTCAGCCCTCCTGGGCTTGGAAAAGCCACAGCAGGCTCTAAGCCAACTCCAGCCAGTGTGTGTTTCAGCCACCCTGGCCCTGCTCCAGGCAACCCTGTGGAGGAGCAGCTGTTTCTCTGTGCTACAGAGGCCCATCTACCCAACATTTGGCTCAGAGAGGGTGCCCCCGTCCCACCATAATGCCACGTATGTCCCTCACTGTTGTCACCCTCTCCCTGCTAGCACAGAGCTCAGCTCCCTGCCTCAGCAGTCCCATCCTTCCTCCTCTCTGCCAGGTGACTCCCTGTCCTACCACAGCGGCCAGAAGTTCTCCACCTTCGACCGGGACCAGGACCTCTTTGTGCAGAACTGTGCAGCCCTGTCCTCAGGAGCCTTCTGGTTCCGCAGCTGCCACTTTGCCAACCTCAACGGCTTCTACCTGGGTGGCTCCCACCTTTCCTATGCCAACGGCATCAACTGGGCCCAGTGGAAGGGCTTCTACTACTCCCTCAAGCGCACCGAGATGAAAATCCGCAGGACCTGAGGGGCTGGCCCCCTCAGGCTCCATTCCTCCCTGGCAACCCCATCACTATGAATACTCCCTCTGACCTCTGATGCCCTGGGACCCCACTATGTTTCTTCTGCTGCTCCCTGAGCACCAGCTTCTCAAGAGGCCTTCTGACTCTCAGCCATGGCTGATCCCTATCACACACCCCAGGGCAAACATTTCTAAGCCAGGCCCTGGGAGCTCCCTTCCACCTGCAGCTAGCTACCAGCAGCACCCAGCCCTTTTCTGAGGTACAGTCACCCAGCCTGGACCTGGCTAGCCTCCATGAGACTGAGCTGCCTACACCCTGTCCCAATAGCTGAGAGCCAGGAGCCACCTCCCAGGAATGCACTTGTGTATCCCACTTTAGCCAGCTTCTCTACTGCGGGCCCCTGTGTCTGGGAATACTCTAGACCAAGCAGTGTAATCTGACCACCCCTGGGTGTATGCCAGGCCATTCATGCATGACCACTGCCACACCCTGGCACCCCCTCTGGCTATTTGCAGAGTACCTTCCATCCTTGGCCTCCCTATCACCAATGTTCTCCCCTGTGGTGAACACCATGGACCTCACAACCATACTGCTTCTACCACCTGCCTGTCCCAGCCCCTGCAAAGCTCAATGACAAAACAGTATTCACCACAGGTACTGTATGTCACCCTGAAGTAGACATGGGCAAGGTAGGCATGGAAATGAAGTCCCCCAACTGCCCCCAGGGATTGAGGTTTGGCCATGTGAGAACACAGAAAACAATCTGTGGGGCTGAAAGTGGGCAGGGCATGCAAGGCTCAGTCATGGACCTAAACAAATTGGCTTTGTGCACAAAAAATATTGCTTGGGTCCCCAACTGGCTCCTCCTTATACCCCTATTGGTGGTATACTGTCCCCATCTCCAAAAATGACACTTGGAGTCAGGCATTAAAAGGAACCTTGTATTTCACAGGCCTCATTTTGATGTCAAAAAGACTGTGTAATAATATTACAATAATAAAAATACAATACTGAAAAGGATTGCTGGGTGGAGTAGGGGTCTCCCAATCCTGTCATGGCTCGGTGGTGGCTCAGGTGGCTGCTTAAGGCTGAAGGGTGGGTCTGAGATGAACCTACAAAATAATCCAAGCTGAGCCTCACCTGCTCCCATGGGCCCTGAATCTGGGTCCCGGAGCTGGTGGCAAGGCAAAGGCTATGGGCCTTAGGGCTCCTGGAGGTCAGGCAGGTCAGCCAGAAGCATCGGGGAGTCCATCTGAATTTCACGCTGCAGGGACTCGATATCAGCAGGGTTCATGCCATGGCCCTCAAGCCAGTCAGCAAGGAGAGAAGCTGAGAGGGAGGCAGAGTCTGCCTGGCTGCAGGGAAAGGGAATCAGGGATGGAAAAGAGAAAGGTTACAGCTAGCCTCAGCCAGCTTTGCACCCATCCCCATCCCATAAGTGAATTCTTCCACACCAGGAGCCCCTCCCCACCACCCCATTCCAAGAGCTGGATCCAGCCATCTTACCCATCCTGTGGCCCGTCAGCCACGCCCATGTCGAAAGATTGGTTTAAGAATTCCTCCAGGTCAAAGCCAACACCATAGCCAGCCCCGCTGCCCTTTGGAGTGCCTGAGAACACAGGGGGCAGGGGGTCCTCCACCTGTGGGGGATAATGGCAGGTTACAAACTAGCAAGGGCAGACTGAGGTGTGCAGGGCACCCTGGTCCTGAGGCTGCTGACCACCCTGTTTGGGTATCCCAGTCTCAGTAATCACCAAGTGCCAGCTAAGGCCCATCTCAAGACCAGGCACTTTCCAGAAAGTATTTTGTCTCCCAACAACCTCTTCATTGGTATTGTTCCTTCTTCTAGCAAGAGGACAAGTTCAGAGACATAAAAACCCCTTGTTGCTCAGTTTTCATGGAGCAAGGACAACTTCCTGAACCCATTTTCCCTGGGCCCAGATCCAGGTGTCCCCAAGGCTTGGGTCTTTCCCCTCACCTGGGACTTAGACAGCTGCTGGGTCACCAAGTTGACATCGGGTGATTCTGATGTAGAAGGCTGAGGTCCCCCCCCAGGGTCTAGAGGTGGTGGGCCAGATGAGAAGTAAGGCAGAACTCCTGGAGCACTAGAGCCAGGCAACCCAGGGGGTGGCACAAGTGACTGGGGGGCCAGAAGGCTACTGGAGGTGGCAGTCTGGAGTGCAGCAGGAATAGGTATGGGTCCCGGAGGGCCAGCAGGATGGGAAGCAGGACAAGGAGGTGGGCAGGGAGGCTGGGGTGCAGGACCTGTGGTGGAGCCTACAGGTTGTGGAGGAGGACCCGTGGGCTGGGCTATGGGGCCAGGGGGTGGACTGGTGGGCTGGGCTGGGGATGGCCTTATTGCTGGGGCTGGGGCTGGGGCTGGGGCTGGGGCTGGAGCTGGGGCTGGGGCTGGGGCTGGGGCTGGAGCAGGGGGCTGGGCCATGCGAGTCCAGCGCTCTAGCAGGCTTCGATCATTGTCACTAAGCACCAGTCCAGCCAGGGGGTCAGTGGAAGGGCCCCCCGAGGTCCCAGCCCCCCGCTCCTTTCGCTCCCGCTCTTGCCGCCGCTTTTCCCGCTCCTTGGCTCTCTCTTGCCGCCTCCGCCGCTTCTCCTCACGTTCTCGCTGTCGCTCCTGGGCCGTCACTGGCTTCCGTGGCTCAGGAGCCTCCAAGGGTGCACTAGGGCCATCTCCAGGGAAGTTGAACAGGTAAGAGGTAAGAGCCTGCAGCCATGTTCAAGCCAGAGTCCCCCACTAGCACCCCACTCCCCAGCCAGTCACTGAACCCATAAGGTACCTTTCAGCCGGCTCCGCAAGGACTTGAGCAGGGCAGCTTTAAGGGCTGCCTTGGTATTGTCTGAGATGGCGCCCTCTTTCTTCGGTGGGGCAGGCTCACTGGCTGGTGGAGGTGGCTGCAGGGTCAGATCAATGGTATCAGGTGCAGGGCCAGGGCATGGTGGTGGGGCTGGTGGGGGTGACTCCATGGCACAGTCCCCACTGGGAGCCCAGGGACTGGGCATCTCAACATCTGGACAGCCAGGCTCACTGGCCACAGGCTGCAAGGAAGGCTGGAAGCGGATCTGTTGGCGGATGCCTTCCCTTCGTGCATGGAAGTCCTCAATCTCTGCCACAATGGCCTCCTTAATTCGTTCCCGGGTAAGGGCTTCACGGTCAAAGGCAAAGTCAAAGGGTGGGGCACAATCAGGCTCATCATCAGGGTCATGGTACTTGGCCAGGAAAGGATGGCGAAGAGCAGCAGCTGCTGAGATGCGAGCACTGGGTTCGAAACGCAGCATGCGACCCAGCAGTGAAAGAGCCTGGCGGTCAGCACCTGGGTACACTGTCTCCCAAGGCACAGGCTGGCGTGGTGGCAGGCTCTGGATATAGGCCCGCACCCTTTCAGCCCCGACAGCTTGAATCACAGTTGGCGATGGGGTACCCAACACCATCATAATCAGTTGAAGCTGGTGCACGTAGTTTTTGCCTGGGAAGAGCTGGCGCCGGGCAAGCATCTCGCCAAAGATACAGCCCACAGACCAGAGGTCGATAGCCTGTGTGTACTCATGCAGGGACAGCATGAGCTCAGGGGCCCGGTACCAGCGAGTAGCCACATACTCAGTCATGAAGTACTGGTGTTCAGCAGGGGAGGTACACAGGCCACGGGCCATACCAAAGTCACCAATCTTGAGCTCACAGTTCTCATTCACCAACAGGTTAGAGGGCTTGAGGTCACGGTGGATGACCTGAGCTGAGTGCATGTACTTAAGGCCCCGCAGCAGCTGGTACAGGAAGTAGCGCACATGCTCCAGTGTAAGTGGCTGTGAGGAGTGGATGATCTGGTGCAGGTCGCTCTCCATCAGGTCCAGGACCACATAGCTGAAAAGGAAAAGGTGAAAGAGGCATGTCCTAGCCTACCCACACCACAGGGACAAGCCCCATCCTCACTAGACCCTCCTGATTCTACACAAACCATGTTACCCTGGGACCCCAAAGAGCTGACAGCATGGTAAAGAAGCAGCAGCACACCAGGTTTTGGATTACTCTACAACTTTTCCATGAACTTGGTTAAATCACTTTTCTCCCCAGACTTTCCAGTTTCCCCATAAAAAATGGGGTTCAACTATATCAGGGCTGGTGAGTAGGTTTAATTTTGGAGATGACTCCATTGTTTGGTAGTGGCTGCTTGAAGTATTATGTTGAAAATTGTGAAGATTTGTCCATTTTCTGTAAGACAGTATTCTGTGATCAATCTGCTACAGAGGTAGGAAGATGAAATAGTAGTATGAACATCTTATGTCTGCCTTCCTATATAGTCTATAAAACTGTAACATTTGTACTCTTCTTGAAGAATAACAGCAGTCCCTCAAAATGCCCTAAAGGAGCACTGGTCCTGGAACCATGGGAATTTTCTAGCCTGTCCTTCCAGAATTTTAGCAATAAGGTCCCTGCCTTCTGAAACAGTCCCGATTATGCCTCCCTCTCCTATCCCACTCCTTACACAGATTTGAATTCTCCATAGGGTACAGTGGGCCTCAGGATGTCCTTGATAGCAATGATATTGTCATGTTTGAAGTGTTTGAGGATCTTCAGCTCCCTGAGGGTCCGTTTGGCATTGGTTACCACATCAAAAGCATTCGGGATCTTCTTGATGGCCACCTGCTGGCCTGGAGAGCAGGGAAAAGACAGATACCAGAGGGTACCTTGGAGGAACTGCAGACCCCTCTCAACACCACCCTTTTAGGATGCAAATAACAACAGCTACCATATACTGAGTACCTGCCATATGCAAAGAACTTGCTAAGTACTTTACAATATCAAATTTTACCTTCACAACTATCTTACCAGGCATGAACTAATAGCTCAAAGTTACAGATGAGAAAATTTGGCCCAGTAACTTGTAGATTGTACAGTTAGTTGGTGGGAGTGCTGGCTCTAATGCCTGGGCTCATTATCCCTCCCTACACTTTCTCTCCATCTCAGAGCTCACCATTCCCACCATGCAATCTCTTGCTCTGGAACACAGCTCTCTTTTAGACACCAAGGAACAAG